AGGAAAAGTTTATTTGGCTCATAGTTTATAGAGGTTTCAGCCCATACTCTGCTGACTCTTTTTTTTGTTTTGTTTTGTTTTTGTCTTTTTCATTTGTCTTTTTCATTTTTATCGGTACCAGGGATTGAACTCACGACCGCCTGCTTGCAAGGCAGGTGCTTATGCCGCTGAGCTAAATCCCCAGCCCCACTCTGCTGACTCTTAAAGCAGAGTGGATGGCAGACAGCCATCGCAGAAGAGAAACAGTAGTGGCATGTGAAAGGTAGCAAAAGCAAGCCAGGGTCAACCACAGCAACTTCCGTCCCTTATATTTTATCCAGGGTACTTAGGGCAGGTAGCAGTCACACCCTTAATCCTAGTTCTCTTCAAGTATTGCACCATGAATCAATCCCGGTGTCACACATTGTACACCCAGCCACTCTGGAAAAGCCTTTAGCACTGCGTGAGACTCTGGGGGAGACATCTAAACACACGCCCTAATAATTCTTTGAGCAGGCTGAGTATATCACAAACCCCTGTGTAGCCATTGCCCAGCCGTGATGCTGAATGAAAGAAGCAGAGTCAGCTGCTGCTGCTCCATCACAGAGCCCCCACTGCCTGAGTGGAAAGAGACTGGAGATGAGGAAAATGAGAATCCCACCAGACCACACAGCCGTCTAGGTCTGCACCCCACGGCCAATGGAAAGCCTGCTGACCCCAAAGTCCGCTCTTCAGAGAGGTCCGCCAGGACCAGCAGGACCAATGATCCCATCAATGCTGAGTCTTCCATCTCCTCCCAGTGGGAGTGACCTAATTAAGAGAGGCCTTGGCCCCAGGCCCACCCTATATGTTCATGGTTGATGGGAAAGTCAGTGCTGAGCCTCTGTTTCTACAGCTAAACCATAGGAATCCCTCCGGGGAAAGCTTTCAGGAAGAGCTGAGAACCCTCAAGGACTCTAAAGCTGGTCTCCTATCAGGATTACCTGAGTACCTAAAGGTGCCCTCAGGTGAGAGAAGACAAATCTAACTGCCTTGTTTGCCAGTACTTTCCAGGGCCACTGCCTATGCGCTATCAAGTTTATTTTATTTTATTTTTTGGTACCGGCAATTGAACTCAAGACCTTGGGCCACTGTCAATATGAAGATTTCTGTGCCTTCTGTCACCCAGGCATCAGTGAACTGCCCTGTGAGACTGTCCCTTGCCATCTAGATGGGAAGGAATTCTCTGTAACAGCTATGTCTTTCCCTGTGCCCCATAATGTCTGCTGCGAAGCTCTTCCATCCAGCACCCTCAGACAGTGACACATACGCTGCCGACCTGCACTCGCCTGTTAGGGTCCATAAGAGTGATATGTGCTACGTGCTGTCTTCTGATCCAGCCTCCAGACCCTTCAGCTGATCCAGCCTTCAGAACCCTTTCAGCTGCCTCCCTCCATCAAGTGACTGCAGTACAGGAAATCTTTTTGATGCTGTTTCTTGTGCTTTTGTCCACCTGTCCTCAGCGTTACCCTCAATTCCTAAGAGCACAGGAACAGTTTCTTACCTTCTCTGGCTGCTTGCTTTATCTCATGTTTATTTTATTTTAAAGAGGGTAAAACAGATCAGAAGAAAACAAAGTGACACAGGATTTCAAAGCAAGACAACCCGAGATCAACAGTGGCTACTATATTGTCTCTTGTTTTCTTTGAAATAGTTGCCCATATCTTCACAAACAATGAATTCAAACAAAACAAAACACTATAAAACTGATCAAAACCAAAGAACAAAAGCATTACAGGCCTTCAAAATCAGACAGTAGGAAAAATCAACAATGGCTATCATACTGTTTCTTGTTCTCTTCAGAATTAAAGCTGCTTGCTTTAAGTTTTGTTTGTGTTTGTGACACCTCAATGTTTTCAGCACTCAAGAGATTCCCTAGATTATCTGACCTGAGGTAAAGCTCAGGTGACTGGCATAGAGTTGCTCCCTCAAGGTCACTCCCTTGGTTTTCGATTTCATAGTTTTTCTGCCAATAGCTTGATACTCACTGCTGTGGTAACTTTTGTGAATCTGCATCTCGTTGTAACCTTTTCTTTTTTCTTTTTTGGGGGGAGGGTAGATGGGAGGGGATTTGAGACAGGGTTTTGCTGTGTAGTCCGGGCTGGTGTTGAACTTACTGTATAGCCCAGGCTAGCCTGGAACTTGGGGCAGTCCTCTTGCATCAGCCTCTAAAGTGCTGTAGTTACAGACATGCGCCGCCACACTCAGCCCCTTGTAGCCTTTTTGGTGGCAGTTTTGTGATTTCCCACTACGTACTGGAGTAAGTTTTTCTGCCAAAATGAATGAGGCTTTTGGTGTCCTCTAGACTGTCCCCACAAACCAGATTGGGACAATTGTAAAACTTTGTATGTTCTGCCTCCCTGTCCTTCTCCGTCTCCGTTATTCTGGGCCAACACAGGTCAGGGAGACCTGTGAAGCTCAGGTGGGTGTCCCTCCCCAACTTCTCTCCAGCCTGCTTTAGTTAAGAGTGTCATTGTGTGGCCACCAGCCCTACCATCTGAATTCTAACTAGCCTATCTAGAATATCTAACTAGCCTAGCTGTGGGTGGAGTCTCAACAGTATTGACCCTTTTCCCTCACATCCATGGCTCTGTTGCTGTGAAATGACAGGTGAAGTGAACAGGTGAAATGCTGTGAAGTGAACAGGTTCAGCTTTTTGAGTTGGTTGTGAGGAAATAAGGCACATTTAGGCTAGACAGAGGGAAGAGAGCCTCTGGAGAACTGAGAGTGAATTTTTAAACACTTTTTAGTATTAGTAATAAATATAGTGGAAACAAAAGTAGAGCACATGGCATATTATGGGCATCTTCCTGAAAAATACGTTGCACAAAAACAAGGGTGGTGCCCTAGTAGACTTGTGAGCCTGGCGTGCACACCACAGTGGCTCGTTAGTCTCTTAACATTGTGCCTCGGTGGCTTCTGTTGTCCCATCTATTTGTCTGGTTGTGCTGCTGGCCAGAAATGGAACTGTCCTAAAACTTTACAGCAGATGTCCTTAGCAGTAGGCAAAGCCAACTCTCCAGTAGGAAGGAAAGTCTTAAGCTTTCGCAGTGCAGTTGACCACTAAAAATGATGCTGTCCAGACAGACACATTTGCTGAAGTAGTGGCCTGCAAACATACATAGAAAACAAACATAATTATTTGTTTTCTATGTTTGCTTTCTTTTTTAAGGAACTTGAAAGGCTTGGTTTTTTTGTTTTGTTTGGTCTTTTTTCCTTTTTATCGGTACCGGGGATCGAACTCACGACTGCCTGCTTGCAAGGCAGGTGCTTATGCTGCTGAGCTAAATCCCCAGCCCCCGAAAGGCTTATTTTTAATGCAGTGTGCTTGTTCTCCACGTGGCAAAGCAGTTTGGAAGGTGCTATGACTTGTTGGCTTGCCAGTCACCACGTATTATTCAAAGCAGCCTTGAAAAATGTGAATCACCTGTTGCACAGAATGGGTAATTTAAGAAGTACTGCTGGTGTTTTCTTTTAAATGCAGCTTTCTTTGTGTTGGCAGTCGTAGAGCCTTCTACTGACTCATCATTGTTTCTTTCCTTTTTTCCAAAGAAGCTCTCTACTGACATTTGTTTTTTCATTCCTTTTCACTAGGGTTAGCTTGTGGGCTTAGCAAAACTGACTAAGACAAGTGGGCAGTGTGGGAAAGAGGAACAGATGGAAGTGGTAAATAAAATAATGGGTACATAGACTAAAAACACACAGAGAAATAAGTGACAGACTAAAGTAAGTGGCAGATTCCAACTTAAAACCTGTTCAGATGCAGCTGTACATTTGAAATCCATGAACTCACTTGCTACTGTAAAGCCTACCACAAGATGCAGGTTGTCACTTGCCACCAACTGAAAGGGTTTTTGATGAGTCTTCAAGCAATTAATTACGGTCTGTGTGCAGTCAAACCTCGCTGCTAAGGTAATCCATGTGTGCTACTCCCCAGTGTTAGCATCACCACCTCAGCTTCATCTCAGATCATTAGGCATAAGAATTTCCCAGTCTGGACCCCTGGTGTACAGAGTTCACACTAGGGTTTGTGCTCCTGGAAGAATCCAGTGCTGCTGGTGATCTGACAGGAGGCAGAGCTCAGTGGAAATGCAGGCCGTGGAGAAATGCTGTAAATACAGGTGAAGCTTTGCTGTCTTGTCCACTGACTTCCTGCTCAGTGGTCTGATTCTTAAAGGTACTAGTCCATGGCAGAGGTTGAGGACCCTGCTTTAATTCAGTTTGGTTTGATTTTTTTATATGGTGAGAGATAAGGATCTATTCTCATTCTTCTGCATATAAACATCCAGGTTACCCAGAATACTTACCGAGGAGACTGCCCTTTCCCTAACATATGTTCTGAGCACCTTTATTGGAGACCATTTGCCTGTAGCTACATGACTTTACATGTAGGTTGTCTGTTCCGTTCCGTTTGATTACCACAGCTTTGTGCTTTATTTGAAGTCAGGTAATAGAATGCCTCATGCTTTATTCTTTCTGTTCCAGATGTATTGGTACATTTTAGATATACATAATGATAAAATTCATCATAAGGAATTTATACATGATATAGCTTGATTCTTTTTTGTTTGTTTTCATTTTATTTTTTCTAGTTCTGGTGTTTTGATAGAAGTTGCATTGAATTTATAGATAGCTTTAGGTAGTGTGGGCACTTTATTTTTCCACCAACTTTTTGGCTTGGGGTGTGTGTGTGTGTTTTGTTCTGTTTCTGTTTTTTAGACAGGGTCTTGCTAGGCAGTTCAGGAATCCTTGAATTGCTGTGTAGACCAGGCTGGCCTCGAACTCGTGGCAGTCCTGCCTCAGTCTCCTGAGTGCACCATAAGACCCAGCTCCACTCCTACTAAAAGACAATAAAGAGTCTCCCAATAGAGTCACATTAGCAATCTCTATAACAACTGCTTAGAACTTCACATTCAACATTTTAATCCTCAGGGTGTCTCCATTTTACAGAGGAAGAGCAAAAAAGTTCAAAGAGAATTCAACCCTGTTTGCAAGTAGCCCACACAATATATTGCCATGTTACAAGACTGTGAGGCTAACTTCAGCATTATTTTTCCTCCTTTTATGACCATCAGGATCAGTGTTCAGATCCAATGGAAACAGGAACTAAAAGATTATTGTGGACATTTTACCAGATTGTTTTGTTTTGTTTTGTTTAATGTACTGGAGATTGAACTCAGGGCCTTTGTACTGAGTTACATTCTCGGCCCTTCTTTGTTTTTTTACTTTGAGACAAAGTCTAAGTTGCTCAGTTGCCCAGGCTTAGACTTGCAGTCTTCAGGGTTTCATAGTTTTTATTGTAGAGATCTTTTCCATTCTTTGGTTAAATTTATTTCTAAGTATTCTCTGTCTCTCTCCTTCCTTTTCTTTCTCCTTCCCTCTTCTGCCCTTGATTTCTTCCCCTTCCCTCTCCTCTTCCTCCTCCTCTTCCTCTCTCCTCCCACTTCTGTTTCTTCTTGTAGCTATTAAAAATAATATTTCTTTTCCAGATATTTTGCTACTGGCATTACAAAACTGTTTCTGATTGTTATCTCAACAGCTGAGACCTAGCTGTGCTTGCGCTTGCCACAGAGAACTCTGCATATTTGTGGCCAGTGGACCACACTTGTAAAAACCACCCATCACTTCCCCTCCTCATTTTGTTTCACTGATTGCACAGCATTTTCCTGGTAATGGCAGCTGTGAGAGAGTCTGCAATAGCTGAGCAGGGTAGCTCCTAGGCATGCCAAGGGTAATGGAAAGCACATGAACAGACATAAAGTCTAATCTTAGAACTGTCACTTGAGAGCTGCATTACCTGGGCAACCCACAGATTCATTATGAATCATTTTCCTCCTCAGTAATTGAAGTAGTGATGTATGCACTGCAGATAAATCTTAATCATTATGCTAAAGGAAAGAGAATATAATCCATTTACATAAAATTAGGAAGTCAAAACATGTAATGACAGAAAGTAGATTAGTGATTGAGTATTAGGAAGTCAAAACATGTAATGACAGAAGTGGATTGGTGATTGAGTAGGTCCAGAAGCACACTAAAAGACAGAATGCAAAGATGCCCGAGGAATGGAAATATTCTGTATCTTAATTATGGTGGTGATTTCACAGATGAATACAACTGTCAAAATTCGTGAAATTGTGTACTGTCATGTACAAATACCCAAAGAAGGAATTACAAGGCAGTTTAATGTTTTACTAAGAAAGAATATTGAAATAAACTTTGGATTATTTATCATTTACAGTCCAGGAGTGGAGAATAGCAACACAAATATATGTTTGTATTATGTAGCAGTAGGCTATGCATTTGCTGTCTTTGCTGTAATATCCCCATTAAAGTTACTGTTAATATGAATGAAATCAACAATCTTAACCTCTAACTCTCCTTTACCCATTCCTTTTTTTTGGTCTTTTTTGAGATGGGGTCTCACCATGCAGTTCAGGCTGGCCTTGAGCTCACTTTGTAGCCCAGGCTAGTTTCGAACTCAACAATCCTCCTGCCTCAGCCTGCCGAGTGCTGGGATTACAGGCATGAGCCACCACGCCCGACTCTCCCATTACTTTTTTTTTAAAAATTTCCTAATGAACTACTTGTGATAGAGGGTATTTGAGATCAAATTTCCTAAAATAGTTCGAATTTCTTAAAAATTTATGTCCTGTATTTCCCTTAACTGATTATTTTGCTTCTTAGTAGTTATTGTATCTTGTTACCTGTATGCTATGAACTATAACCTTTTAGTCATACTATGATGAAATGTCCACAGTAAATTCTTAGTGCCATTGTATAAGTAGAGGTAGAAGGGTTAATTTGGAAATGATTTGGGTCACCCTTCAAAATTCTCATCCTATATTCTCTTAGTAGTTGTAAGTAACTCAAAGTCCTTTTTTCTTTTTCTTCTTCTTCCTGTACTGAGGATTGAACCAAAGACCTTTGCACTGGGCTACATTCCCAACCCTTTTTGTTTTGAGACAAGGAGTCAAAAATCATTAAATTGCCCAGACTGGGCTTGAACTGGAACTCCTGCCTTAGCCTCCAGAATGTGGAGATTGTAGGTGTGCAACACCATGGCTTGCTTTTCATAATAAAAATCCCTCTGGAAGCTGCAGCCAGTTTGGAGTTGACACCAAAGTTGAAAATTGACCTCAAGTGAATATCTAGCACCTCAAATATGAAGTGCAAGTAGTGACCATTCTGGATTAGCTACTTGTGGGTGAGTACAGCCGTTCCTGATCTCCAAAGGAAAAGCAGAGCCAGTGTGATTGTGCTAGTTCTTTCCCTAATATCAATGTCCTCTTTGAAACTGAGCCATGTGTCCACTGGGAGAAAGCTGATTTTAGGCAAGAAATATGTAAGACAGCTGTCAAACATTAAGACAATTGGGTAAAATACATGAATATATAATAACTCATAATAAATAATGTGACAAAAAACAAAAACAGCTGGGCACGGTGTATATGCCTCTGATCCTACCATTTGGGAAGCAGAGACAGAAAAATCACAAGTTCAAGGCCATCCTGGGCTACGTAGAGAGTCTCTGTCTCAGGAAAAAAAATGTTGTAAAATCTAAAAGAACTTTATGACACCCTCCAAAATAAGGGCAATACTCCTTTGTGAATTGAAAATTAAAAGGAAAGAATTAAACATTTATACCTGCCTTTATCTCCTTTAGGTAATCAATAGCCCTAACTGTGGGCATAAAGTTTTTCTATAGAGAATGATTAGGGGCCAGGGAAATAGCTAGTGCTCAAGCTTCTGCCTGGCAAGTGCAAGGTCTTGGGTTTGATTCCCAGTACTGAGAAAAAAAAATAAAGAATGCTTGGATCAGAAGATCACCATCTTAGCCAGGCATGGTGCTATGTGCCTGTAATCCCAGCACTTGGGAAGCTAAGGCAGAGGATCACTGCAAGTTCAAGGCCAGCCTGGGCTATATACTGAGTTCAGGACCAACCAGAACTACATAACAAGAGATCTCAAAAAAAAGAAAGAAAGAAAATCACTATCTTGCAGTCTCTAATTAAAGTAGGTATTGATCATCAAAGGGTTAAACCATTGGTTTAACTTGGTTGATGAGAAAATTTTCACTAGGAAGAGATCAGACTAAAGTCCTAGTAGATATTTATTCATGTGGCAGATGTGAAGCACATGCCAACACCTATGAAGTATTTTTGTCAGAAATGTAGAAGCTGATTCTAATATAGGCTTTCCAAAACAAAACAGGATAGTTAAATTTGAATTGCAAACAATTGATTTTTTTAGTATAAGTACATCCTATGCTTGGAAGCATACTTTGTTTCTATAACAAGTCAATGGAATGGAATAGCGGAGGAGTTGATGTGGGACTATTTTGTAGGAAAAATGATTTGTGAGCTTTAAATGCACCCCCCCCCAAGAAACATTAGGAAACATAACCATGTATGTGGAACTTGCTTGAATTCTGATTTGAACAAAAGGATTTTTTCAATAAAAAGATACCTTAAAATATGGTAATATGTGTGTGTGTATGTATCATATATATATGATATATTCCCACCATTTGGGGAAGTTGAGGCAGGAAGATCGAAGTTCAAGCCCAGCTTGGGCAATTTAGCAACTTAATGAGACTATGTCTCAAAATTTTAAAAAAGGAATAGCAATGTAACTTAATGCAAAGGCCCTCGGTTCAGTCCCCAATATTGCAAATAAATAAATAAATGAGATTTTACATTGTGTACTGGACATAAGATACTAGAAAATTACTTTAAATTTCATTAGATATAACAGTGGTGTTATGGATGTAAAAGAAAATATTCATTTTATTTAGGAAAAAAAATGACATGATGTGAGGGGTTTTTAAAAAACTTTTATTTTCATTTTAAAGAGAATAAAACCAAGCAAAATAAAACAGTAAAGCCAATCAGATAAACCAGTGTGACACAGGACTTCAACAGGAAATCAACAATAGTTACCATTAGGCCTCTTACTGTCTTCAAAATACCTGTAAATGCCTTGAGACATAGTAAAAATCATACAGAACAGAACAGAATAAAACCAATAAAGACAAAACAATGAATGCAGTAGACTTCAAAACAAGATAACAGTAAATCCAAAATGGCTACCATAATATATCTTGTTATCTTTGTAATAGGTCCCCATGCCACCTAATATAATAAAATTAAGCAAAACAAAACAGAATATACCCAACCCAACCCCAGTGAAAATAATACAGGACTTCAAAATAAGATAACAGGGAATTAACAATGGCCACCATCCTCAGAAGGAGCTCCCCCATAGATGCTACATTACATATTGTTATCCTCTGAATAGATGATCAGACTACCATCTTTAGGTCTGCAAAGTCAGTGAAACACTAAACACTAAACTACCTCTGAATCCTTGAGAAAACATAGTCCAAGTTAGTTGAGAGGCCTGGTAATAAGGACTTTTCAAAGGCAAAACGAAACTGGGATCTGTCAAGGAACACAAAAGAAGGTTATCTTTTAAATCTGACACCGAAAACCAACTGGCATCTCCTGGGATCTGAGAAAGGAAAGTGTATGAGTCAGGCACCACCAGGTGAACAGGTACTACGACCTCATTTACCAGTCTGTGGTCCTGTACCAACCTCCACACCCCACTGGGTTTTTGAACTCCCAAGATTGGCGTGTTTGAGGGCTGGTACAGTGTGTAAGAAGACCTTGTACCCTTAAATGGTCAATTATAGACTGTAGACCTCTTTTGACTTCAGACCTTAGAGGGCATTGTCTCCAGTGAGGAAAAATAGTAGGATCTTTGAGATGTATTTGTACCAGGGCAGCTCCTACTGCTCTTCTATTCAAATGTTAGTCAGATGTACCTAGAATTTATTTCTGTCTCCACAAGGGGGAAGCAGGGTACTTGACTGGGTACATGTATGTTAAGTGTTCAACAAGATAAGATCTCTCTCTCCAGGAGGGGAACTGGACTTTCAAGCTAATTTAAAAGAAATGAGTGAAGAAAAAGTCATCCCAGTTACAGCCTTGGGGTTGTGAGAAATAGCAGTTATTCCTCTTACTAAGGTATGACACACAGAAAGAAGGCTAGGGATGGAAATAAGGACTGAGAGACATGCACCAGTGTCCAGAGGAGGCTGGTTTCTTTTC